TTCTGTTTCCAATGGATTTGAACTGTTTGTAGAATTAAATACCATCCAAATACATCAGTCTGAAAGCAAAGCGTAAACATAAGAGCAGCATAGTATGATAAAGCGGTTCTGGAGAACAGTTTATAAATCTTAGGTAAGGTAAAGGTTTTCCCCTGACATTAAGTCCAGTTGTATCCGACTCTGGGAGTTGGTGCTCATCTCCATTTCTAAGCTGAAGAGCCGGCGTTGTCCGTAGTCATCTCCAAGGTCATATGGCCGGCATGACTGCATGAAGCACCATTACCTTCCTGCTGGAGCAGTACCTATTGATCTATACACATTTGCATGTTTTGGAACTGCTAGGTTGGCAGAAACTGGGGCTAACAGCAGGAGCCCACTCCACTCTCCAGATTCAAACCTGTGACCTTTCGATCAGCAAGTTCAACAGCTCAGCAGTTTAACCCACTGTGCCACCGGGGCTCCTTGTAAATCTTAACCAGTGCTTTTAATTCAAGTTATTGTGACAAGGGAGCTGTGTATTCCTCTTAAGCTGTCCCAGCTAGCTATTGGGTTGCAAAGATAGAATCCTAGAGTCGGAAGGGACCCCAAGGGAACACCTAGTCTGGTCCCCTTTTGCCATCCAGCCTCGGCTAACAACCCCATCCATCTTGCACAAACAGGCTGCACAAAGCTTTGTGTTTACAGAAGAGACGAGCGAATGTGCCTTTCTTTCTGCTTGGAAACCCGCTGGCTCCCTAGCAACTCTTTTCTTCTCAGAGAGGTTGCCAACACGACTCCCGAGTGGCATGGAGAAATGAAGCTGAACGATATTAAATTGTCTTATGCATTCAAGGCTGCGGAAGATCTAAAACTACAACTCCCATGACACCATAGCATTCAGCCATGGCAATGAGTGGTTTCAAGCTTCATTCCTTCTAGATCAGTGTTTCTCAACCCTGGGGGGCAGGACCCCTGGGAGGGGGGGTCATGTGGGGAGTGTCAGAGAGGTCACCCAAGACCATCAGAAAACAAATATTTTTGATGGTCTTCAGAACCAAATTTGGTCCAGATCCATCACTGTGTGAGTCCACAGTGCTCTCTGGATGTAGGTGAACTACAACTCCCAAACTCAAGGTCAATGCCCATCAAACCCTTCCAGTATTTTATGTTGGCCATGGGAGTTCTGTGTGCCAAGTTTGGTTCAATTTCATCGTGGGTGGAGTTCAGAATGCTCTTTGATTGTAGGTGAACTATAAATCCCAGCAACTACAACCCCCAAATGACAACTTCAATCCCCCTTCCAACCCCACCAGTATTCAAATTTGGGTGTATCGGGTATTTGTGCCAAATTTGGTCCAATGAATGAAAATATGTCCTGCATATCAGATATTACGATTCATAACAGTAGCAAAATTACAGTTATGAAGCAGCAATGAAAATAATGTTATGGTTGGGGGTCACCACAACATGAGGAACTGTACTAAGGGCATTAGGAAGGTTGAGATGTACCTCTTATCATGGGGGGATGGGGTGGAACATTTTGTTCAATGCGAGAGTGCCTTTGCCTTCTCTCTGAGGCTGAGAGAGTGTCACTAAATGGATTTCCAATTTGAGCAAGGATTCGAAGCCTGCTCTCCCAGTATCCTAGCCCAACAATAATACTGTATTTCTTCCTTTGTAAGAGCTGGGTAGGTTTAGCTTGAACAAGAGAAATCTAGAAGGAACATGAGAGCCGTGTTTGAATATTTCAAAGGAGGTCCCATTGAGTAGAAATGTGCAGACTTGTTTTCTGCTGCTTTGGAGACTAGGATTCAGTGGATTCAAACTGCAGTAAAAGATATTCCACCTAAACATTAGGAAGAAACCCTTGATGGTAAGAGTTGTGCGACAGTGGAATATGGTTCCTGGGAATCCAGTGGAATTGCCTTCTCTGGAAGTTTTTAATGAGAAGCTGGATGGCCATCTGTTGGTAGGGCTTGAGTTGTGTTTTCCTGCCTGGAATAATGGGGTCAGACTGGATGGCCTTTGTAGATTCCTTTCAACTCTATCTAATTCTATGAATTTTCAAGATGCAATGGATGGTGGCGGAGTTGCCTTTTCTGTAGGTTTTTAAATCATAGGCTGGATGGCCATCTGTTGGGAGGGCTTTCATTATATCTTCCTGCCTGGAAGGATGGGGTCAGGCTGGATGGCTTTTGTAGATTCCTTCCAACTCTAGATGATTCCATGAACTTTCAAGATGTGATGTGATGGTGGAGTCGCCGTCTCTGGAGGTTTTTAATCACAGGCTGGATGGCCATCTGTTGGGAGGGTTTTGATTGTATCTTCCTGCTTGACAGAAGGGAGGGCAGACTGGATGTCCTTTGTAGATTCCTTCCCACTCTATATGATTCCATGAACTTTCAAGATGTGGTGGTTGATGGTGGTCGACTTCTCTGGAGGTTTTTAATCATAGGCTGGATGGCCATCTGTTGGGAGAGCTTTCATTGTATCTTTCTGCCTGGAGGAATGGGGTCAGACTGGAGGCCTTTGTAGATCCCTTCCAACTCTATATGATTCCATGAACTTTCAAGATGTGATGGATGGTGGTGGTCACCTTCTCTAGAGGTTTTCAATTAGAGGCTGGCTAGCCATTTGTGGAGAAGGCTTTGATTGTGTTTTCCAGCTTGGAAGAATGGGGTCAGACTGGATGGACTTTGTAGGTCCCATACAACTCTATAGGAATCATAGCATCAAAGACTTGGAAGAGGCCTCAAGGGCCATTCAGCCCAACCTTCTTCTGCCTGGCAGGAAGACACTATCAAAACCCTCCCAACAGATGGCCATCTCATTTCTGTTGAATCATAGAACCCGAAAGTTGGAAGGGACCCTTAAAGGCCATCCAGTCCAACCCTTTTGTGCTAGGCAGGAAGACACTATCCGATCCCTCCTGAGAGATGTTTCTACAGACTTGTAATATACAATGGATGGTGGTGGAGCAGCTTTCTCTGGAGGTTTTTAATCAGAGGCCAGATGCCCATCTGTTGGGAGGGCGTTTATAGTCTCTTCCTGCCGAAGAATGGGATCAGGCTGGATGGCCTTTAAGGGTACCTTCCAACTCTATATGATTCCATGAACTTTCAAGATGTGATGGATGGTGGTGGCCGGCTTCTCAAAAGGTTTTCAATCAGAGGCTGGAGAGCCATTTGCGGAGAGGGCTTTGATTGTGTTTCCTGGATTGGAAGAATGGGGCCAGACTGGATGGACTTTGTAGATCTTATCCAACTCTATAGGGATCATAGCATCAAAGACTTGGAAGAGGCCTCAAGGGCCATTCAGCCCAACCTTATTCTGCCTGGCAGGAAGACACTATCAAAACCCTCCCAACAGCTGGCCATCTCATTTCTGTTGAATCATAGAACCCGAAAGTTGGAAGGGACCCTTAAAGGCCATCCAGTCCAATCCTTTTGTGCCAGACAGGAAGACACTATCTGAACCCTCCTGAGAGATGTTTCTACAAACTTGCAATATGCAATGGATGGTGTTGGAGCAGCTTTCTCTGGAGGTTTTTAATCAAAGGCCAGATGCCCATCTGTTAGGAGGGCTTTTATAGTCTCTTCCTGCCTGGAAGAATGGGGTCAGGCTGGATGGCCTTTAAGGGTCCCTTCCAACTCTATATGATTCCATGAACTTTCAAGATGTGATGGATGGTGGTGGCCGCCTTCTGAAAAGGTTTTCAATCAGAGGCTGGATAGCCATTTGCGGAGAGGGCTTTGATTGTGTTTCCTGGATTGGAAGAATGGGGCCAGACTGGATGGACTTTGTAGATCTTATCCAACTCTATAGGGATCATAGCATCAAAGACTTGGAAGAGGCCTCAAGGGCCATTCAGTCCAACCTTCTTCTGCCTGGCAGGAAAACACCATCAGATTGGACTACTGCAATGCGCTCAACGTGGGGCTGCCCTTGAAAACGGCTCGCAAGTTCCAATTGGTCCAACGAGCAGCAGCCAGGATGTTAACTGGGGCCCCTTACAGAGAGAGGTCAACCCTCCTGTTCAAGGAGCTCCACTGGCTGCCGTTTATTTTCCGAGCCCAATTTAAGGTGCAGGTGCTTACCTACAAAGCCCTGAACGGTTTGGGACCAGCCTACCTGCGTGACCGCATCTCCGTCTACGAACCCACGCATTCACTTCGGTCATCTGGAGAGGCCCTGCTCGTGATCCCGCCTGCGTCGCAAGCGCGTTTGGTGGGGACACGAGACAGGGCCTTTTCTGTGGTGGCCCCCCGACTCTGGAACACCCTCCCCAAAGATCTTAGACAGGCCCCTACCCTGGCAGTCTTTAGAAAAAACTTGAAGACCTGGCTGTTCCGATGTGCCTTCCCAGAATAGGAAATCTCCAATACCAAGTCCCATAAGCACTTTATTAAAACTAAGATTGCCGCACGCTGCACACTGCACTTGCCCTATAAGCCTTATATTCCACCTGTCACATCAGCACTTTTAATCCTGTACCCATTACTCTGGACAGGTCCAGTTTCATTGTGTCTTAGTGTATTGTTTATTGCTTGTTGTTATATTGCTTTAATTGTTTTTTTAATTTGCCTTGGGTTTTGTATTATTATGTTGTGTGTTGAGGCCTTGGCCTTTGTAAGCTGCATCGAGTCCTTCGGGAGATGGTAGCTAGCGGGGTACAAATAAAGTTTAATAATAATAATAATAATAATAATAATAATAATAATAATAATAAAAACCCTCCCAACAGATGGCCATCTCATTTCTGTTGAATCATAGAACCCGAAAGTTGGAAGGGACCCTTAAAGGCCATCCAGTCCAACCCTTTTGTGCCAGACAGGAAGACACTATCTGAACCCTCCTGAGAGATGTTTCTACAAACTTGCAATATGCAATGGATGGTGTTGGAGCAGCCTTCTCTGGGGGTTTTTAATCAGAGGCTAGATAGCGGTCTGTCCGAAGGGCTTTGGTAGTGTGTCCCGGCTTGGAAGAACAGGGTCAGATTGGATGTCCTTTGGGATGTGTGTGCTCTCTTCCACTCTAGGATCCTATGAGTCAACCCAGCTTGGAAGCCGAGGCCTGCCTTGCTCCTCAGGACGCTCCTCAGGACGTGCCAAGTCAAGCTGATACACCTGGGGAGCCAGTCAGGAAGAGCTGGCGCAGAGGTGCTCCTGGGAGGGTGGGGCTTGGCAGGTGAATCACTGGCTCCTGCGGGAAGGAGAAGGTGGAGTTTGGGGGCCCTTTTGTTCTGCAGAGCCTGGAGAGCTGGTCAGACAGGAAGAGCTGACTCCTTGCAGCAGCAACAGGAGAGGAAAGAGGAGGCTGGCCAGAAGAAGGAGCTTGGATGGTGGTCCAGGTGTGCCAAAACCAGGCGCATGAATGGGGCGATGAGGAGTCAACACTGATCGGATGCTTTAGGGCAGTTTGGATGGCCTGATCTCCTAAGAACTACCATGTGTCGCCTGGGTGAGTGGCCACCTTCCCAAGGTCAACAAGGAGGAGCACCAAGGAAGCAATGTACCAGGGCCAGAGATAAGGGGCAGATCCATATTCGGGGTTGGACTAGATGACCTTTGGAGATCCTTTTCCTCTCCTGGAAGGCAGCAAAGTGTTGAGCCGAGACGATATCCAATTAACGCTATGTAACAAAATTTGAAAAAAATCTGCTCCTTTGAAAGTGTTATTTCGGTTTGAAAGTGTTATTTCTTCTTTAATTATGCAGCACTTACTTTGAGTCCTTCTACTCCAGAAACTTTGTTTTTTTGTGGCTGTCACAAACCATGCTGAATTGCTTGAGGCTTGAGGAGAGATTCATTGAAAAACTATCACAACATGTGCTACAGGGTGTCCTGCAACAACAAAGTTTTTGTAGTTGAACCAACTTTCCCTATGTTTTTTTAAACGATATAACCAATTAGCAAATGGCATTTATAACCCAAGGACAAAAATTATGTTACATAGTGTAATTTCTGCAATTTTTGGGGTTGGATTAGATGGCCTTTTGGGGTATTTCTCTTCTACTGGGAGATGGCAAGACACAAACCAAAGGTGCATCCGAATAATGTCTGCACTGCCAAGGGTTGGATGCCGATTTGTTTTGTGAGACTTGGATAATTTTGGTAATTTTATTCTTTGTCCAGCACCTTAAGGCATTGAATGTTTGCTGATTTGTTGTAAACCGCCCGGAGTCCCTACTGCAGCGTTTCTCAACCTGGGGATCAGGACCCCTGGGGGGGGGGTGTCACAGAGGGGTCGCCAAAGACCATCAGAAAACACAGTATTTTATGTTGGTCTTGGAGGTTCTGTGGGAAGTTTGGCCCAATTCTATCATTGGTGGGGATCAGAATGCTTTTTGATTGTAGGTGAAGTATAAATCCCAGCAACTACAACTCCCAAATGTCAATGTCTATTTCCCCCAAACACCATCAGTATTCACATTTGGACATATTAAGTATTCGTGCCAAGTTTGATCCAGATCCATCATTGCTTGAGTCCACAGTGCTCTATAGATGTAGGTGAACTACAACTCCAAAACTACTCAATGCCCATCAAACCTTTCCAATATTTTCTGTTGGTCATGGGAGTTCTGTGTGCCAAGTTTGGTTCAATTCCATCATCGGTTGAGTTCAGAATGCTCTCTGATTGTAGATGAACTATAAATCCCAGCAACTACAACTCCCAAATGTCAAGGTCTATTTCCCCCGAACTCCATAAGTATTCACATTTGGACATATTAAGTATTTGTGACAAGTCTGATCGTTGTTTGAGTTCACAGTGCTTTCTGGATGTAGGTGAACTACAGCTCCCAAACTCAAGGTCAATGCCCACCAAACCCTTCCAGTATTTTATGTTGCTCATGGGAGTTCTGTGTACCAAATTTGGTTCAATTCCATCATTGGTGGAGTTCAGGATGCTCTTTGATTGTAGGTGAACTATAAATCCCAGCAACTACAACTCCCAAAAGACAAAATCAATCCTCCCCTCCCCCCAACCCCACCAGTGTTCAAATTTAGGCGTATTGGGTATTTGTGCCCAATTTGGTCCAGTGAATGAAAATACATTCATTCACATATCTGATATACAGGATGTATATCAGATATGTACGTTATGATTCATAACAGTAGCAAAATTACAGTTATGAAGTAGCGACAAAAATAATGTTATGGTTGGGGGCCACCACAACATGAGGAATTGTATCAAGGGGTCGCAACATGTGTCCTAATTTTTTCCTTATTAATTGCAATATTTCTACATTAAAAGGTCTCATGGTGGCTTGTCAAAAAGTCAACTGAAAACTATTTAAAAGATGCATCCAACAATCCAGCAAGTTCACACAAGCTGAAAACAGGTCATCGGTAACATTTCCTAAAGCAATTATTCTTATCCCAGCCTCCCTTTTCTTGGCAGAAAAAGGCCTTACAGGTTAAAAGGTGTGTTCTTTCAATGTATTGTCGTTGGAAAGGTTGTTGTGAGTTTCCCGGTCTGTATGGTCGTGTTCCAGAAGCATTCTCTCCTGACGTTTCTCCCACATCTATGGCAGGTATCCTCAGAGGTTGTGAGGTCTGTTGGAAACTAGGCAAGTGGGGAGAAAGAACTCTTGCCAGTTGGAGGCCAGCGTGAATGTTACCATTGGCCACCTTGATTAGCATTAAATAGCCTTGTGGCTATTCAATTCCAGGCAGGAAACAATCAGAGCTAGTTAACACCTCCCAACAAAGGATTCCTCCAGGCAGGAAGCAGCCAGGTTTTGAAGTTGCAAGTCTATTCAATGCTAATCAAGCTGGCTAATAATGTGTTGTCAAAGGCTTTCATGGCCAGAATCATTGAGTTGCTGTGGGTTTACAACCATGTTCCAGAAGCATTCTCTCCTGACGATTCACCGACATCTATGGCAGGCATCCTCAGAGATTGTGAGGTCTTGCAGCCTTGCAGCTATTCAATTCCAGACAGGAAACAATCAGGGCCAGTTAACACCTCCCAACAAAGGATTCTCCCAGGCAGGAAGCAGTCAGGTTTTGAAGTTGCAAGGCTATTCAACGCTAATCAAGCTGGCCAACTGCAACATTCACTCTTGCCTCAATTGAATAGCCATGAATAGCCTTGCAGCTTCAAAACCTGGCTGCTTCCTGCCTGGGGGAATCCTTTGTTGGGAGGTGTTAGCTGGCCTTGATTGCTTCCAGTCTGGAATTGAATAGCTGCAAGGCTATTCAGTGCTCATCAAGGTGGCCAAAGGCAACATTCACACTTGTCTTCAACAGACAAGACTTCTTTCTCCCACCCTGGACATCATTCCACAGACATAAAAACCCCATTTTTCCTAGTTTCCAACAGACCTCACAACCTCTGAGTATACCTGCCATAGGGGCAGGCGAAACCTCAGGAGAAAATGCTTCTGGAACATGACCATGCAGCTCAGAAAACTCACAACAACCTACTGTCCTTTCCAATGTTTTCTCACGTTGCAAGGATTGCAATGTGATGGCAACCACCAGGAAAGGCTTTCTCAACACCTTTTGTCTTGTGTAAATCCAATAATTTCCCCCAAAGTTCAGATCCCACCTGCCTGGCATATTGGATGGCACCAAGGCTTTGGGATCTTCTAATGGAAAGATAATGACCTCTGTTCCCGTTCGATGTTTAACAAGTGGTTAATCTTTAAAGACACTGACTTGTTTGCGAAGGAAATGCCGCATTACCTGGGACTTCCTTATGGCCCTTAGGTCAACATACCACAATTCCTGATCTGGGGAGGGATTTTAAGCTTGGAAAATAGCTGGCTGATAAGATCCGAATCTGGAGCCTCAGGGCAGGAATGTGGCTGGTATCTGTGTGCGTGCCTATTGTCTCCCATGCGGTGGTTTTCCTTGATAGTGGGCAGCCTGGCAGTTGTGCCTCAAATGCAAATTCAACAGTGGATTGCCTGCATAGGTAGAGAGTTGGGCTAGATGACCTCTGAGGTCCCTTCCAACTGGAAAAGTTCTATGAAACTTCCTTTTTTACTGGCAAAGGGTACGTCTACACTGAAAAATGAATGCAGTTTGGCACCAGCTCAGACTGCCATGGCTCTATGCCTGTGGTTCTCAACCTTCCTAATACCGCGACCCCTTAATACAGTTCCTCATGTTGTGGTCACCCCCCAACCATAAAATTATTTTCGTTACTACTTCATAACTGTAATTTTGCTACTGTTGTGAATCGTAATGTAAATATCTGATATGCAGGATGTATTTTCATTCACGGGACCAAATTTGGCACAAATACCCGACACACAGAAATTTGAATACTGGTGGGGCTTGGGGGTTTGATTTTGTTATTTGGGAGTTGTAGCTGTTGGGATTTATAGTTAACCTACAATCGAAAAGCATTCTGAACTCCACCAGCGATGGAATTGAACCAATCTTGGCACTCAGAACTCCCATAACCAACAGAAAATAGTGGAAGGGTTTGGTGAGCATCAACCTTGAGTTTGGGAGTTGTAGTTCACCTACACCCAGAGAGCACAGTGGGCTTAAACAATGGTGGATCTGGACCAAATCTGGCACAAATACTCAACATGGTACTCAGAATGCCCATGACCAACAGAAAATACTGGAAGGGTTTGGTGGGCATCGATCTTGAGTTTGGGAATTGTAGTTCACCTACACCCAGAGAGTACCGTGGGTTTAAACAATGATGGATCTGGACCAAATCTGGCACAAATACTCAACATGGCACTCAGAACGCCCATGACCAACAAAAAATACTGGAAGGGTTTGGTGGGCATTGACCTTGAGTTTGGGAGTTGTAGTTCACCTACACCCAGAGAGCAGCGTGGGCTTAAACAATGATGGATCTGGACCAAATCTGTCACGAATACTCAACATGCCCAAATGTGAACACTGATGGAGATTGGGGGAAAATAGACCTTGATATTTGGGAGTTGTACTTGTTGGGATTTATAGTTCACCTACAATCAAAAAGCATTCTGAACTCCATCAACGATGGAATTGAACCAATCTTGGCACACAGCGCTCCCATGACCAACAGAAAATACTGGAAGGGTTTGGTGGGCGTCTACCTTGAGTTTGGGAGTTTTAGTTCACCTTTATTCAGAAAGCACTGTGGACTCAAACAATGATGGATCTGGACCAAATCTGGCATGAATACTCCACATGCCCAAATGTGAACATTGATGGAGTTTGGGGAAAAATAGACCTTGATATTTGGGAGTTGTAGTTGCTGGGATGTATAGTTCACCTACAATCAAAAAGCATTCTGAACTCCATCAACAATGGAATTGAACCAATCTTGGCACACAGAGCTCCCGTGACCAACAGAAAATACTGGAAAGGCTTGATGGACATGGACCTTTGGAGTTGAAGTTCACCTACATCCAGAGAGCACTGTGGACTCAAACAATGATGGATCTGGACCAAACTTTGTTCTTAAGACTATCAGAAATATGTGTTTTTTGGTGGTCTTTGGCAACCCCTCTGACACTCTCTTTACAACCCCTGACCCCCAGGTTGAGAAACCCTGCTCTATGCGATAGAATCCTGGGATTTGCAGTTTTGCAAGGTCTTGAGCCTCCTTTGCTCCTTTGCTTCCCCAAACTACAACTTTTATGTTCCCATAGCATAACATTGAGGCATGGCGGTTAAAGTGATGTCAAGCTTCATTCATTATGCTGTGTCAATAAAATAAATTAGATTATTATGATTTTAAAAATATTTATCCTGGAAATCCTTGCGGATGGTAACTTACCCTTTAAACAAGGTTAGATATTAAAAGAAAGGCCACACTTTTCATAATCTGAAGTAGACTTAACAGCCACGTTTACTTTCCTGCTCCTGGTTTTATGCAGTTCGGTATATTATCCAAGTGCTGTCCCAAACTGATCAACTTTGCTATCACAAAATTGGGGATTTTTACTAGAAAGGATCTTGGGATGCCTGGTCAGGACTACCAAGCCAAGACCTGGATCCTGGGTTGATTCCTTGTGATGCCTTGAGCATGAAGCCCACTTTGCCATGCGCAATTCAGATGTGAAACAAGTCCAACGAGGAAAGCATATAGAGCAGGACCGGGCAAACTTTGGGCCTCCAGGTGTTTTGGATTTCAACTCCCACAATTCCTAACAGCCTCAGGGCCCTTCCTTTTCCCCCTCAGCCGCTTAAGTGTCCATTCTGTTTCTTATTTTACTGAATGAGTCTCCCTTATTATAAAATCCTAGAATTGGAAGGGAATCCCAAGATCCATCCAGTCCAACCCCCTTCCGCCAGGCAGAAAATGCACAATCAAAGCCTTCCCAACAGATGGCCATCCAGCCTGTTTAAAGATCTCCAGAAAAGGAGATGATAGATAGATAGAATCCTAGAGTTGGAAGGGATTCCCAAGGGCCATCCAGTCCAACCCCCTTATGTCAGCAGGTAAAGCACGATCAAAGCCTTCCAGACAGACAGATGGCCATCCAGCCTGTTTAAAGATCTTCAGAAAAGGAGATGGTAGATAGATAGAATCCTAGAGTTGAAGGGATTCCCATGGGCCATCCAGTCCAAACCTCTTCTGTCAGCAGGTAAAGCACAATCAAAGCCTTCCAGACAAATGGCCATCCAGCCTGTTTAAAGATCCCCAGAAAAGGAGATGGTAGATAGATAGAATCCTAGAGTTGGAAGGGATTCCCAAGGGCCATCCAGTCCAACCCCCTTCTGTCGGCAGGTAAAGCAAAATCAAAGCTTTCCAGACAGATGGCTATCCAGCCTGTTTAAAGATACCCAGAAAAGGAGATGGTAGATAGATAGAATCCTAGAGTTGGAAGGGATTCCCAAGGGCCATCCAGTCCAAACCTCTTCTGTCAGCAGGTAAAGCACAATCAAAGCCTTCCAGACAGATGGCCATCCAGCCTGTTTAAAGATCCCCAGAAAAGGAGAGGGGAGACAGATAGAATCCTACAGTTGGAAGGGACTCCCAAGGGCCATCCAGTCCAACCCCCTTCTGTCGGCAGGAAAAGCACAATCAAAGCCCTCCAGACAGATGGACATCCAGCCTGTTTAACGATCCCAGAAAAGGAGAGGGTAGATAGATAGAATCCTAGAGTTGGAAGAGACTCCCAAGGGCCATTCAGTCCAACACCTTTCTGGCAGGCAGGAAAAGCACAACCAAAGGCCTACCAACAGATGACTGCCCAGCCTCTGGTTAAAAGCCTCCAAGGAAAGAGCCTCCATCACTGGACCCCCAGGCAGTGAGTTCCCCTGTTGAACAGCTCTTCTTATGGATGGGAGGTTCTTCCTCATGTTCAGGTGGGATCTCCTTTGCAGGAGATTGCACCTCCTCTGGGATGTTGGGGTCTAAATCTGAACTGAGCTCTTTTCTTCCCACCCTTCCAGACCACCTAAGCCCAAGTTGCACCCAGAAGCTCCTGATGAAAACGGGCCTCATCCTAATCGTCATCGGCCACCTCAACTTCATCACCGGAGCTTTGGTCCATGGCACAGTGCTGCGCCACATCGCCAACCCCAGGGACACCATCTCCTTGCAGTACGCCGTCTCCAACATTGTGACCGTCGTCTCCGCCATCTTGGTATGTATACTTTCCTTGCATCCTTTTTATGGACAGAGGGAGTCATCGGAAAAGGCTGTTGCATATATATCCCATTGCATATATGACCCATGTAGTAATATTATTGATTAGCCTTTAGACCATATCACAATACCAAACTAATTAAATAAATAAATATGATAAGATATGATAAAACCGAGTATATACATCATATTTCCTTATCACCCCTACAATTTACCCTCATCACCCCACATATGTGGTTCTCAAACATATTGTTTGACTCATTGTATATGTGTCCCATGGCATATGTATCCCATTCCATGTATGTACCATTGCATATATATTCCATTGTATATATGTCCCACTGCATATGTGTCACTTGCATACATGTACCCTTGCATATATGTACCCTTGTATTTATGTCCCATTGCGTATATATCCTGTTGCATCTATGTCCCCTTGCATCTATGTCACCTTGCATATATGTCCCATTGTATATGTGCCCCATTGCATATGTGTCCCATTGCATATATGTACCCTTGCATATATGTGCACTTGCATATATGTACCCTTGCATTTATGTCTCATCGCATAAATGTCCCTTTGCATATATGTCCCATTTCATATATGTACCCTTGCATATATATACCTTTGTATTTATGTCCAATTGCATATGTGTCCCCTTGCATATCTGTCCCATTGTATATGTGTCCCATTGCATAAATATCCCCTTGCATATATATATATATATATATATATATATATCTCCTTGTATGTATGTCCAATTGCACATATTGGACATGTGCATATGTGTCCTATTGCATATGTGTCCTCTTGCATAACTGTCCCATTGTATATGTGTCCCATTGCATAAATATCCTCTTGTGCATATGTCCCATTGCATATGTGTCCCATTATATATGTCCTACTGTGCTTCTTCCATGCTTTTCAATGGGTTGCCATTAAGCTATATGTAATAGACTCTTGGTTAACCCAGAGAACCCCATATAAATGCCACCTTCAATTCAGGAGGAAAGATGGGATGTACATAAATCAATAAGCATATAAATACCCATCTTAAAGTATCATCTCATGGTTCTTTTTTGTGGTAAGAAAAAAGGTAGACTATAGAACAAGTGGAATAGTTTGCTCAAGGAAGTTTCCAGTTACCAAACCAAAGCAAAGCTATCATATGTTTGTGTAAATGCCTTCAAGATGTCTGCCTACTTATGGAGATCTCTGTGGATTTTCCATTAGATTTTCTTCAACAAGGAATATTTAAAGTGGTTTTGCCAATCCCTCCCTCTGAAATAAAGCCTAAAAGAACCTGGGTTTCATTGGCGGTCCTTTTAAGCTTGGACTTTTGGACTGCCATTCCCAGAGTCCCCAAACTTGGTGGATTCTGGGAGCGACAGCCCCAAAACATTCCTGGTACCTTGGAAGATCTATCCTGTGCCATTTAGGAGAAAGGGACCAAGGCTAGATCTCATAGATGGATGTACCTTTAAATTGCCTGCTGATTCATGGCAACCCCATAAAATTCATAGGATATTCTTAGGCAAGGAATGCCCATTCCTTTCTTTGAAATAGCCTACAGTATTGATTTGTGGTTTCCCATCCAAGTACTAACCAGGGCTGACCCTGCTTAACTTCCAAGATCGTATCGGTTCTGGTGCCTTTAGGGCAGTGTTTCTCAACCTTCCTAATGTGGCGCACATTAATACAGTTCCTCATGTTGTAGTGACCTCCAACCATAACATTATTTTCGTTGCTACTTCATAACAGTAATTTTGCTACTGTTATGAATTGCAATGTAAATATCTGATATGAAGGATGTATTTTCATTCACTGGACCAAACTGGGCACAAATACCCCATACACCTAAATTTGAATTCAAGTGAGGTTGTGGGGGATTGATTTTGTCATTTGGGAGTTGTAGTTGCTGGGATTTATAGCTCACTTACAATCAAAGACCATTCTGGATTCCACCAGCAATGGAATTGGGCCAAACTCGGCACACAGAACTCCCATGACCAACAGAAAATACTGGAAGGGTTTGGTGGGCATTGACCTTGAGTTTTGGAGCTGTAGTTCACCTACATCCAGAGAACACTGTGGACTCAAACCATGACGGATCTGGACCAAACTTGGCACGAATGCTCAATATACCCAAATGTGAACACTGGTGGAGTTTGGGGAAGCTACACTTTGACATTTGGGACTTGTGGTTTCTGGAATTTATAGTTCACCTACAATCAAAGAGCATTCTGAACTCTAGCAATGATAGAATTGGGCAAACTTCCCACACAGAACCCCCATGACCACCAGAAAATACTGTGTTTTATGATGGTCTTTAGTGACCCCTCTGACACCCCCTCAGGGGTCCTGACCCCCGGTTGAGAAACACTGCTTGAGGGTATTTCAAACCTTTGCTGTTCTTAATAAGCTTCCATTCATAAGGCTGCTATTTGAAGCGGATTTGATATTTCATAGTAAGCACCCACGCTTTTGGGCCTAATGGGTCCCTTCTGTGGTCAATATTTTTCCTCCCAAACTCTGTTTTATCGTAGCATAAGCCAAAATGATGTGGTGCTTATTGTTCTTATTGGGACCCTATGATTGGCCTGCAGAGGCATCAAACACTGCTCCATTGATGTGGATTCATTCTCCCCTGGAGATGCAGCTGGGATTTGGGAGCTCCGCGAGAGCAATGTGGCATAGATATTGTGTCTCATTCCCTGACATCTGTGTTCTCTTGGCAGACAATCTCCTGCGGCATCGCAGCCATTGTACTCTCTCGATACATCTCCCGGAAACCACTGGTAAGAAATGCCCGTTTTCTCTTAAGTTGCCAGTCGTCTTTCAGAGCAAGAAAGACCTGAAATATGCCGTGTTACTGATGGGAGGCATATTTGGACATACAGCTTGAGCATCCAGAATTCTGAAATCCAAAATCCCTAAACCTGGGGAACTGAAATAGTAGCACCTTTGCTCTGCAATAATTCAATGTATACAATATTTAAAAAAATGAACAAAATTATGAATAATGTTGTTGTATGAAATCACCTTCAGACTTTATGCTAATGGTACATCTGCATTGGGGAATTAATGCAGTTTGATGCTACTTTAACTGCTGTGGCTCAATAGGACGGTTTCCTGGGAGTTGTAGCTTTACAAGGTCTGCCCTTAAGTGTTTGGGCTTCGTCAAACTGCAACTCCTAGGACTCCATAGCATTAAACTATGGCCACTGAAGTGTAGATGCACCCAATGAAACATAAATGTATCTCACGCTTCGACGTTGGTGCCATATCCAAGGTAGCACATTATATATGTGTATGCAAATACAAACATTCCAAATTCTGAATACGAGGGGCGTTCATTAAAGATTTCCCCTGACCCACTTCCTGTGGACTGAGAGCAATGAAACTTGGCCCAGTTCTGAGTCCTCCTCTCCATAGGTGCCACCTAGGGACACACACTTCTCCCATCTTTTTAATCAGCTGTAAACACCTCGCTTGTAGAAGTCAACAAGTTGCTCCAAAAACCACGTTGTGGGTTTGGAAATCAGAGTCTCATGATCCGCAAAATGCTTGGCCTTCAGAAATAACTTAACTGTTGGAAAGAGGTGGAAATCCAATGTTGCAAGGTCAGGTGAATAAGGGGGATGGGGTAGAATTTCAAAGCCACAGGAAAATGCTTCCATTTGGGTAACATGTGAGTTGTGAACTGGTGCACTGTCTTGCAGAAGGCGAGCATGCCACATTGTCTCTTGGTTTTGATGGCCTCCCGCAGTTTCCCCGGCAGTGAAGCATAGTATGCCCCAGTGATCATTATACCCTTTGCTAGGAAATTCATCAATACTACTCTATGCTGGTCCCAAAATACTGTGAGCATGAGTTTGCCTGCTGAGAGTTGGGCACGTGACTTCTTTGGAGGCAGTGAGCCATGATGCTTCCATTGCATCGACTGGACTTTAGTCTCAGGATCATAGTGATGGATCCATCTTTCACCCTTTGTGATCACTCTGTTGACAAAGTCCTCCTGGTTTCCATGGCACATCATTGTCAATAGAGCCTGAGAGCATTCAACTCGTTCCTACTTCTGGAAAAGGTGTGAGCAGATGGGGGACTCAGCATGCAGATACCATATGCATGTGGAGATGGTCTTGGATGATTTTTTCCACAGACCCCACACTAATCTTGACATTTTGGGCTAAGTGGCAATTAGTTATGCAGCAATTTTCCAAAATGGTGACTTCCACTTGATAGATGGTGTGTTTATCAATAGCAGAGTGGGGTCACCCTGGAATTGGAGCTGCTTGCACTAAAGTCCGACCACATTTGAATTGACGATGCCAGTTCTTGACTACATCATAAGATGGGGAATCATCACCATAAACTTCTTCCATTTCATCGAATCTCTCCTTTGGTGTGTGGCCTTTCAAGTAAAGGAACTTGAGGGCTGCTCTGTATTCCACTGGGTCTATTATCAAACCTCACACCACTTCAGCACCTGTAAAACCAAGACCGTTATTAATTCTGAGTTGTAAATTGGTACATAACCTATTGAGACTTATATCGTTACACATGTACAGTTTCAGCGACGTGTGATAAATAGAAGTGGGTCAGGTGAAATGTTTAATGAATGCCTCTCGTAAAATCCCAAATCTGCATCATCTTTATATATTCGGATAAAAGGTAATCAACCTGTAATGTTCCAGGTTTAAAAATTGGCTCAGGAAAAATAACATAATTTTGTGGGATTTTCTGCATCCATCTAATTAATATCACACAGTAGAAGGAGCATCCTGCAGAAAAAAAGACGTCATTTTTGTGCATATAATAAAATAATGTATTTTCTGTTTAGTAAATGAGCTTCCTAAACAGGAAACTCAATTTCCTGTCTGGGGAACCTGTTTTCTCTGCAGATATATATTATGCACAAGATTAGAAGATGTTTGGATACAGGGAGAAGTTGCAGTCCACTGTTTTTCTTTTCCAACTTGCAATTATTCGGATAGTGAAGGATTTGCTTCCCTGTCTGCCAGAAGTGAGCAACTTGCATAAAGGTGTAAATGTGCTTTTTATTTGCTCCTAGTCATGGCACAAGCTGGCAGCTTTACCACCTGCTACACCCAGAATATCAGATAATGGCTTGGAAAGCTTGGTCTTTCCAAAGTTCATTAAATCTGCTGTTGGAGACTTCAGATAAAAATGCCACACCCCAGCAGGGCGTTTTCCAAAGCCGTTTGTTTATGATATTGAACTCACGAAATTGCAAGTCTAGGGCTCCAAAGTCCATTTTCTTCAAAGGGCTTAGTGTATACATGCTTCCCCGCTTCTGTGTTTGCAGAGTCCTCATAGGGCACAATCCAGGCGGGAGATTCTTGAGACCTATTGTAATGAATGGGAACCATGCAAGAGCACCAATGCCTCCCGTTGTCCCCAAGGCTCAATGATGCCCCGATCAGAACCCCAAACGCTTGGCAGCTGCAGGACAGAGATGTGGAATTATTATTATTATTATTATTATTATTATTATTATTATTATTATTATTAGATACACAACAAGATTAGTACACAGCAAACAAGATCACTATGCTGCCTTTGTATTACATCACACGTCATACACTTCCCAAGTGCCTAGGACTGTGTGATGTATCCGCAAATAATGCATGCAGATCCGAGTAGGGTGGCCTTTTGCAGCTGACAGATGGTAATTTTGTCAGCGCCGATTGTTTTTAAGTGCAGGCCAAGGTCTTTAGGCACTGCACCCAGTCTGCCGATCACTGTTGTTGTTTGATGATGATGATGATGATGATTGTTGTTGTTGTTGTTGTTGTGTTTATTTATACCCCACTTTTCCTAGCCACAAAGGAGACTTAAAACGGCTAGAAATGCCCATGCAGGTTCTCAACCAAGAACCGTGTATTTGTTGGATTCTTATTTTGGGATCAGGTGGAACACTGCAGTAGAGAAAGTGTCCTTCCTCTTCCTTTCAGTGTCCCAGTTTCTTTCCTTCTTCTATTTCCCCCATCCTTCAATTGCTGCAAGCTGAAACTACAAAAAATAACACTATGTAAGACAATTTTTGTTCCTGGGTTATAAATGTCGTTTCCTAATTGGTTGTATGATAAAAAATGGAAAAAGTGTATTAAACTGCAAAAACTTTGTCTTTGCAAGAGACATCCTGCAGCAGCACATTTTGCTATAGTTTTTCAATGAATATCTCATTGAGTCTCAATCAATTCAACAGTTTGTATCAGCCACAAAAACAAAGTTTCTGGAGTGGAACAATTACTTTCAAAGTAAGGACTGGACACTTAAACAGGAAATAACACTTTCAAATCAGGAACAGATTTTTTTTCCCCCAAATTTTGTTGCATATTGTAATTTATGGCCAGGATGGCCCAAAACAAAGCTCTGTGGAAATGACAGTCACAATGCTAACTCCTCCATTGGGAAAATAGCTTAGAAAGAAGGAGTGTAATTTGTGCTCAGGCTGGTTCTACATTGCTGAATTGATGCAGTTTGATGCCACTTGAACTGCCATGGCTCAATACTATGGAATTGAGGGATATGTAGTTTGGTGAGGCACCAAGCACTCTACACTGTCAAATTAATGCAGTTTGACACCACTTTAATGGCTATGGCTCAATGCTATGGAATCCTGGGATTTGTGTTTTTATAACCTCTTCAGCCTTCTCTGACAAAGAGTGCTAGTGCCTCACTAAACTACATATCCCTTGATTCCTTAAGCCCCCGGTGGCGCAGTGGGTTAAACCCTTGTGCTGGCAGGGTTGAAGACCAACAGGTGAGCAGATGAGCTCCCTTTATCAGCTCCAGCTCCTCGTGCGGGGACATGAGAGAAGCCTCCCACAAGGATGATAAAAACATCAAATCATCCGGGCATCCCCTGGGCAACGTCCTTGCAGACGGCCAATTCTCTCACACCAGAAGCGACTTGCAGTTTCTCAAGTTGCTCCTGACACGACAAAAAACAAACAAAAATAAACTAAACTACAGATCCTTTGATTCCATAGTATTGAGCCATGGCAAAGAAAATGGTGTCAAAGTGTGTTCATGTGACAATAGAGCTAACTCTGTAGAAGGCAGAGCAGAGGAAGCGTGAAATATTACTCTTCCCAGTTGAACGAAGCAGAAGCAAACAGCTGCAGCCTCTCCAGGCTTGCGCATAAGCGTACGCAATTAATAACACTATGTAACAAAATTTGATTTTTTTTCCTGTTCCTGGTTTGAAAGTGCTGTTTCCTGTTTAATTGTGCAGTCCTTACTTTGAAAGTCATTGTTAAACTTCATAAACTTCTTTTGTGGCTGCCACAAATGATGTTGAATTGGTTGAAAGTTTGAAAAACGAGAGCAAAACGTGCTGCAGAATGTCCTGCAGAAGCAAAATTTTGGCAGTTGATTCATTGTTTTCCATGTTCTTATGATAGATTAGGAAATGAGACTATTGTATTGTTGAAGGCTTTCATGGCCGGAATCACTGAGTTGAGGACCTCACATCCTCTGAGGATGCCTGCCATAGATGAAGGCAAAACGTCAGGAGAGAATGCTTCTGGAACATGGCCGTACAGCCCGAAAAACTTACAGCAACCTAATGAGATTATTATTAGGAAATGACATTTATTATCCAGGGACAAAAATTGTGTTACATAGTATTAACTGGCCATGTTGGCCACACTCTGATGCTGCTTGGCCATACAAATCTGGTTTTCATCTGGGCAGGAGAGTGCCTGGTGCACGTTGGGTCCCACTTTTGTTTTACTATCCAAGAGGGTTTGGATTCTGCATCTCACTGTTTGAACCAAAAAGAGATGTGTTTCTTTGGGCTTGACTCTTTCCCTCTTTCCAGAAATGGGCCGTCTTCTCCCTGAGTGTGGGCAGCACCCTGCTCTCGCTCTTCTGCTCCGGAGGGCTGGCGGTGGCCATCGTGGTGACCTTTGCCAACCAGGGCCGCACCCTCCTGGAGCTCTGCACCTTCGCCAACGTGGACCTCATCCAGATCTCCCATGAGTGCCCCTTCGATCCCACCCGTGTCTATGTAAGTCTGCAGGAGCCCTTGTGCACGGAGGCTTCTATGTATGGAGGGTTTGTTTGTAAAGGAAACCTTTGACGGCAATGACAGTTCCCCCCCAGGTTCATTATGGGAGTCAACATGTTCCTTTCTGGATGTTGCTGGGTTGCACCTTTGGATGTATCTACATCAGTGATTCTCAACTTTCCTAATGCCGTGACCCCTTAATACAGTTCCTCATGTTGTGGTGACCCCCAACCATAACATTATTTTCGTTGCTACTTCATAACTGCAATTTTGCTACTGTTATGAAGCATAATGTAAATATCTGATATGCAGGATCTCTTTTCATTCAGTGGACCAAATTTGTCACAGAGACCTGATACTCCTAAATTTGAATACTGGTGGGATTGGGACGTGATTGATTTTGTCATTTCGGAGTTGTAGTTGCTGGGATTTATAGTTCACCTACAATTAAAGAGCATTCTGAACTCCACCAATGATGGAATTGAACCAATCTTGGCACACAGAACTCCCATGACGAACAGAAAATATTACAAGGGTTTGGTGGACACTGACCTTGAGTTTTGGAGTTAAAGTTTACCTACATCCAGAGAGCACTGTGGACTCAAACAATGATAGATCTGGACCAAACTTGGCACAGATACTCAATATGCCCAAATGTGAACATTGGTGGAGTTTGGGGAAAATAGACCTTGACATTTGGGAGTTGTTGTTGCTGGAATTTATAGTTCACATACAATCAAAGAGCATTCTGAACCCCACCAATGATAGAATTGGGCCAAACTTATCACACGAATCCCTATGACCAACAGAAAATACTGTGTTTTCTGATGGTCTTTGGTGACCCCTTTGACACCTACCCGCGACCCCCCAGGGGTCCTGACCTCCAGGTTGAGAGATGGCTGATTGTAGAGCAGCTGCCATTGGATCTCACTTGAACTGCTATGTCTTCGTGCTATGGAACCCTGAGAATTTTGTAAAGTACCAGCCCCTCTTTTGCGGGCAGCTTAAAGGCCTTGTAGAACTACAACTCCCATACCATGGAGCCCTGGCAGTTTAAGAGGTGTCAAACTGCATTCATTCCACAGGTTAGATCCCCCCTTGGGTTTATTGACACTCAAGAAAAACACTTTTTCTACCAGTTTTGGATTACACTATGTAACACGATTTTTGTTCCTGGGTTATAAATGTCATTTCCTAATTGGTTCTATCATAAAAACATGGGGAAAAAAGTTTATTGCACTGCAAAAACTTTATTTTTGCAGTCTGCACAAAAGGTTCAAAATGGCACATTGAAAGGTTAAAAATGGCAGCCACAAAAATGAAGTTTCTGGAGTATAACTACTTTCAAAGTAAGTACTGTGCAATTAAACAGAAAATAGCATTTTCAAACCAGGAGCAGACTTTTTTTTTGTTACATAGTGTTATTTCCCAATCCCATTGCATTGCTGGTTGGAGGTACCATCTGGTAACTGTTGGTTTTGGGATGGACAGAAGGGCATCTTTGCTTCAGAGGGGGAAAAAGAGGAGACAATATGGGTTCTTAGATCTCCCCAAGGGCTGTAAGGTCTCCAGCTGTTGTGGGACTGCACCTCCCAGCATCCCTAAGTCAGGGATGACAATACTGGGGGTTGGAGTCCAACCATCTCCAAGGAGCTGCTTGATCCATATTCCCCTCCCATTCCTGAGTCTACAGCCAGGTACTGAAGAGTATTGTTTCCACACAAAAAAGTATTTTCTGCCCCCTCTCCAGAGCTCTGCCTTGGCCCTTTGGGGGCTTTCCTTTATCCTGGACTCCATTGAGATCGTCTTCAGCATCCGCTGCTTAATCATCGTTTCGGGGCTCCTCAACTTGAAGCTCTGTTGCAAAGGGACGCGCAAGAAGAAGGTAGGAGGAAAATGCTTGGAAACACCCTCCATATTTGGGGGAAGAGATTCCTTTGGGTGCATCTACATGGTTAGAATAACTGCAGATTGATCCCACTTGAACTGCCATGTCTCAATGCTATGGAATGATAGGAGCTGTATTTTGGGGAGGCAGCAACACTCTTCAGCAGAAAAGGCTAAAAAGATATATATTTTTTTGGTTTCATAGCTGTGAGAATGTATTGTACTGCTTTGAGTGTTAGCTTTGGGTCTCCTTTTAGAGAGATGAAGCGGGATAGGAGTAATAAAGATGGTAATCAAAATAATAATAATAACTATTCTCCACTACTGTCCATTATTATCATTGAATATACAGTGTTCCCTCACTTATTGCGGAGGTTATGTTTCAGGACCTCCCACAATAAGTGAAAAACCGTGATGTAGGGATGCTATATTTATTTTAATATTTATACATTATTTTAGTAGTTATACACTATTTTAAGTCTTTATAAACTTAAAATAAAGAGAAGGAAAGGAAGGAAAGGCCCTTCAAGGCTGGAGGGAAGCAGGGAGGACTGAGGAGGGAAAGCACCTCGGAGAGCGGCAGTGGCAAAAACCCGCGAAACAGCGAAAATACTTCAATATATATTTTAAATTAATATTTTTTTAAACCGCGAAACAGTGAGTCCGCTAAAAGCGAACCATGAAGTAGCGAGGGAACACTGTACAGCCAACCGTCTGACAGCTTGAAAATATTCCAAGTAAAATCCAAAAACTTTGATCTGTCATTGGATATAATGGGTCTTGAGCGTCCATGGATTTTGGTGCCTGGAACCAAACCCAAGGATCCACTATAACTCCCATTTATTTCCTAGCCAATAATAGTTTGTGGGGGGAAAAACAATTTCTCTGCATTTATCTAAGCCCTTTTAATGCCATGGGATATTCCTTCCATCTTGTGGCCAGGAGTTCCACAGACTATACATTGCACAAAGTTCTCTTCATTACTTTTTCTTATGGGGTGCATCTCCACTGCAAAACTAATGTAGTTCTGTACCATGTGAACTGCAATTCTAGTAAATCATAGTAGTTATAGTTTCACAAAGTCCTTAGCCTTCTCCGCCAAAGAGTGTTGGTGCCTCTCCAAGCTACCAACCCTAGGACTGCAAGACATGGCAGTTCATATGGTGTCAACTGCATTAATTCTATAGTGTAGATCAGACATGAGCAAACTTGGGCCCTCCGGGTGTTTTGGACTTCAACTCCCATCATTCCTAACAGCCTCAAGCCTTTTCCTTTCCTCCCTCAGCTGCTTAAGCTTAAGTGGCTGAGGGGAAAATGGAAAGGGCCTAAGGCTGTTAGGAATGGTGAGAGTTGAAGTCCAAAACACCTGGAGAGAGGGCCCAAGTTTGCCCATGCCTGGTGTAAATGACCTGAGTCTGCCAGGATTACAATCTTTTGCTCATAGTAAAGCCCGATAGTGCCAGGGCCTAGAATGAGTCTTGTAGGGATGAGATTGAGAAGAAAAGACTGAGAGGAGAGAAGAAGAGAAGTCTGAGAGGAGACCTGATGAGGGCCATGCATAAATATGTGAGGGGAAGTCATAGGGAGAAGGGAGCAAGCTTGTTTTCTGCTGCCCTGGAGACTAGGACGCAATGGAACAATGGCTTCAAACTACAGGAAAGGAGATTCTCCCTAAACATGAGGAAGAGCTTCCTGACTGTGAGAGCTGTTCAGCAGTGGAACTCTCTGCCCTGGACTGTGCTCCTTCTTTTAATCAGAGGGTAGATGGCTATCTATTGAGGGGTGCTTTGAATGCGATTTTTCTGCTTCTTGGCAGGGGGTTGGCCTGGATAGCCCACGAGGTCTCTTCCAACTATGATTCTGTGAGTCTATGATCCTGTCCCAATGACTGCTTGCAAATCTAAATTTGCACGAGTTTTCCCTTGATGTTACCTTTTTGGATTTAAAGGTCTCGCTGCAGCTGGTCCCAGTGGAGAACAGAGATGCCAGCGAAGGACGGGATCTTTTGAGGTTGGAGCGAGTGGAGACCGTGTGGCTGTAGAGCCGAACAGCTGCAGCCAAGGCGTGACCACAATTTCGGAAAGACCTTGGACAATGCAAGGACACATTCAGCCTTGAAGATGTCTCACTCCGAAAAGGACAGGAAGGAAATTTAGTGGACATTTGCATCCGCTGGGGTTTGCTCCCAGCATACCAAAATCTGTGGATGACCCAGTCCCATAATTACAGTAGAGTCTCGCTTATCCGACATAAACAGGATGACAGAACATCGGATAAACGAAAATGTCAGATAATATGGAGTCCCTTACTGTTACCCGTCCAATGTGGCACTGGACACCTAGAATATTAACAGAGACTCAAAGGTTTAAGGCAAGGCAATGCCTCGGGCTACAACGTCCCAGAAGGAAGTGCCCGGATTCAGAAGAGGAATGTGGAAATCACAGAGGGAAGGAGGGAGGATGCTTCTGCTTCCAGTCGTGCCTCTTTTCCTCTTTTCCTTCCTCTGCCTCATCTTGCCTCTTTCACTTATTGAGAATGGAGAGAGTTAGGGAGTGCACCTTTAATTGAAGGGGAAATGCTGGAGGATAAGAGCGGTGGATAAGACGGAATGTCGGATAAGTGAAGGTCGGATAAGAGAGACTCTACTGTATATACATTATATAAAATAGCAAATAACTCAAATGAATACCAGGGAGGAATGAAGGAGCTATGAAACAGTGGGAGGCATCAGCATTGAGCAAGATCAAGATTTAGGAAAAAATTAAGAAAAATTCCTTTGGATGCAGGACTTATGGATAGGGAGGACTCAACTGTATTCAATCTCCATTGTGGATGAAAGTCTGGAGATCAGCAACTAAGCCTCCAATGGAAAACATAGCAAAATATCGCTTTCCATCAACCTGAATCTCCCCAAATTTTGTTCCGTTCCCCTCTCTCTGTGTACTTTTAATACTCTGTACTTTTCAATTCTTTTCATTCTCCGGAACCGAAGGCAGAGCAGCCATAAACCTCTGTTGTGATCCGACGGACTTATGCACTGAGACAAAACAACCCTTCTTGCATTTCCTTTTCAATTTTTTTAATTTTGAAGGTATTAAAAAGAAACAAACAGCCCCACAATTGCCGCTGCCCGCTCCTCTTGGCATGCACCCTGGTGATAAGTGGATTGTAATATATATATTACATATATATATTAAAAATATTTTTTTCAAACAGCCGAACGTTTTGATTTGCACAGTGAGGTGGAGCTGTGTGGTCTGTAGGTCCATATGTCTGTCCATAATGTGGGGTAGTGAGTGACCGTTGTTTTCAGCCATTTTGGAGGTAGAAAAGCCACCGTATGGTGCTCTCTCTTGGCAAGTAGCCCATCAAAGGGGCAACTTGGAGGGGAAAATAGCAAGGAAGGGAAATCTAGGGGTAGATCAGTTGCAAAATGCCTTCTTACTTGGGGAGCAGAGGGAGAGTTTGAACTTTGAGGGCCTGCAAGTCTTTCATTACTCCAATTGTAGAGGGATGGAAATCTAGGAGTATGTTTATGAAACGAAGTCACTAAGTCAAAGGGAAGGTATGGATGGAAACCATTGTGTGCCTTTAAACCTTTTTCAATTTATGGAAACCCTAAAGTAGGGTGGTTAAACTCACGTTCATGGAGGGTCACATCAGCCTTATTATGGTTGCCTTCAAAGGGTTGTTGAATCCATGGACGGACAATCCACGGACATAGAGAGTCAACTATAATTACAAAGTGGTCAGTGCTTTTTAATTTTACCTAGTTTGGTGTTATTGAATGACAGCTAGGAGCCGCAGTGGCGCAATAGGTTAAACCTTTGTGCCAGTTGAACTGCTGATCTAAAGATCAGCAGTTCGAATCCGCAAGACGGACTGAGCTCCTATCTGTCAGCTCCAGCTTCTTATGCAGGGACATGAGAGAAGCCTCCAACAGGATGGTAACTCATCCAGGCATCCCCTGGGCAACATCTCTGCAGATGGCCAATTCTCTCACACCAGAAGCGACTTGCAGTTTCTCAAGTTGCTTCTGACATGATAAAAAAAACAACTGCCATCAGAGGGGATAATGGAGACTGCAAGCCAACAACTCTTGTGGCTTTGAGGCTGGGAATGATTAAAGGGAAATTTAAGATCTGGCATCTCCACAAGCCTTGCATCTCAATCCAAACCCCTCTCCTGACAACTCCCATCATGTCTAATAAGGAATACAGGAGTTATTGTCAAAGGCTTTCATGGCTGGAATCACTGGGATGTTGTAGGTTTTTGGGGCTATATGGCCATGTTCTAGAAGCAGTCTCTCCTGATGTTTCATCTGCATCTATTGCAAGTATCCTCAGAGGTTGTGACCTCACAACCTCTGAGGATGCTTGCCATAGATCCAGGTGAAATGTCAGGAGAGAATGCTTCTAGAACATGGCCATATATTCCAAAAAACCTACAACAACCCAATACAGGAGTTGTCATCCAGCATCTGGAGAATCACATAAAATGACATGGAGGGCTGGATTTGGGCTGTGGGCATTGGGTTTGACACATGTGGCCTTATCATGGGGGTTTCTTGAGCTGACAATATGTGACTTGCCTAATATCAACCAATGAGTTTTCATGGCCAAGGGGGGATTTGAACTCACGTCTTCACAGAGTCTCAATCCAATGCTCAAACCATGAAACTGCACTGGATTTCAAGATTTTTTCAGGGGAATTTTGTCAACATTTTGCCTCCTTCTGAGGCCGAGAGAGTGTGACTTGCCCATTTAGTCTCCATGGCTGAATGGGGATTTGAACCCAGAGTCCTAGTCTAATGTTCAAACCATGACATTGCTCACATAGGAGTCAAGCAATGATCCGAAGTAAAGAGTGTAAACACAGCAAATGGGTCCTCGGTTTGAATGGCTTTCAGGGTTTCTACCTCTCCAATGCTAGAAATATAGGGGGTGATGGAAAATTTCATTGGCAGGGTTCTTATGTCTTAATGCCTTCCTTTGGCTCCTTTGAACTACACTCCAATTCTGTTCCATTCATTATCAAACAGGATTCCTCTGTTAGTGGTTATTGGGAAGCATTTTCCATTGTAATCCTAGCCAGTATCCTCTCACAACTGAGTTAACTAAGTGCAAACTCTTTTTGCATTTTGGACTCAGTTTGCAGCCATTGAAGTAAGCTGAGGGCAAAAGGAGACAGTGAAGAGGGAGAAAGGGGGGCATTTTAAAAGTGGGATGGCAGAGGATGAATTGGGACTCTTCTGGCCAACTAGGGACTCTTAGACAGTACACGGAGTGGGTTCTGTCCAAAATAAGAAGCCAATTTCTGATCCGCAAAGCTGCCTCCCGCATTTTGTAGCTCCCAAATTCATTTTCAAATTATCCCTCCCCAAAACCCTAGTTTCTTTGGGGCCTCCAAAGGCCACATAGTCCATCCTGTGCAAAGAGACAAGACAGTGTCCGTTCTGCTAGGCCAAACCATAACTACAAAGGACGTTGGACTCTATAAACGATGCAAACTTGTACATGTTGTGCTTAGTTTACAGAATATATATATATAGATATAGATATAGATCTCCACTAGCCAAAGGAGAGGGACCAAGACCTTCTCCATCATACACACATGCACACACACACACGCATTCACCCCATTGCTTCTACATTGGCACCCCTTTGACGTGGCTTCGAGGGCTGTTTCGGACCCGAATCCTCCCTCGATTTTGGAACAAACCGGAGACAGACAGAGCATGCATGCAGCCGCACAGTCATCAAAGTGTGCTAGACACACGTACGGACACACAAGCAACATGCAACCAAACCCCAAGGAGGTTGGTGGGTGAGACAGAGGCCCCAACACCCCCTGGAAAAGGAACCCCTCGGCCTCCTCAGTGGGGTCAGCATTCACACAAAACTACTGTGTTTCGGATGGAGGGATTTGGGGTAACGGAAGGGGTTTCCTGGCAGTGCCTAGGCTTGGCAGTGCGGTGGGGAGACATGTCCGGTTTCTCCGCAACAGGGGGCACGGGAAGCCAGTCGCCTCCCTGTGAGCCGCGTGAGGTGGATGGTGGTTGTCGTGCCGCGGTGGTTTGTTTGGGGGGTGTTTTGACTTATCCCCCACTTCTCTGGGAGACTGGCTCCTCCGACCAGTCGGTCGCACAGGCGGAAAGGGGACAGAGGGGGTCTCAGAACTGGGAAGCGCTGCTGGGGTCACACTGGAGCAACCGCACGATGGAGGGGTCACTCTTGGCGCCTTTGATGAACTCCTCCAGGGACAGTTTGCCTGCCAAGGGAAGAGAGAAGAGAAGAGAAGAGAAGAGAAGAGAAGAGAAGAGAAGAGAAGAGAAGAGAAGAGAAGAGAAGAGAAGAGAAGAGAAGAGAAGAGAAGAGAAGAGAAGAGAAGGGAAGAGAAGGGAAGAGAAGGGAATTAAGCTGGACATCTGAAATGCACATATAGAACAGTGCATGGGAAAGGGATATTATTTATTTATTATTTCGTATCAAAAGCATTGCATAAATTATTATAAAACAGATAAAAATAGAAGGAACACAAGCGGATTTTTTTTTTAACCAAAAATAGGCAACAGCAACAGAAAGAGCCTCCTTGAAGACTGAGTAAATACCGCTGGGCGTCCCCTGGGCAACGTTTCTTGGAAACGGCTAATCTTGCCAAACCCAAAAGCATTGCTTTCACACATTTTAAACATTTTAAATTGGAGGTGTGTGTTTTTCCCTCCACATATGGATGAACACCAAAGGTCTTTATCAAGACCATTGCTAGTGGTTATGTCTATCCTGTGCAAAGAGAAGGTTTGTCACTTGCTAAGGAAGAACTACTGGCCAAAATGTCTGAGTACATTTTGTGTGCCATCTTATGTATAGAGGAAACACACAGAGACATCACAATGGGAAAGGGAGAATATATATAATTTTTATTTGTATACTGCTCTATCTCCCCTAGGGGATTCAGGGAGGTTTCCACATAAGCAAGGCAACCTAGAACATACAGAGTAACCATTTAAAACAGACATAAAACTATTAACACAATCATATACATTTAAAAAACCAGATCCAAAACTGTTCCATTGTGCAAAATAAGCTACCAATGGCCAGAATTTCAAAGTGGGCTTAGACAGTTTGAAAGGGCTGGGCTAGGGCTAATGCAGGTAATATAGGGCCGGGGAATGCAAAGTGCAAAGAAAGGTCCTAACTAATGGCCAGAGTGGGGCTTGGGGCTACTCATTTCCAGGGCCTACTGAGCAACTATAAGAAAGATCTGGGCCAGGGCTCGTACCACGAGATGACAGAGGACCAGGGGAAATGGTAAAGTGCAAAGCTGGTTCTTAATCTGGTGGCCAGGGTAGGACCTACGGCCTGAGGCTCATCATTTTCCTAGACCTGATGGAACCACCAAGTCTTCAGGTCCCTGCAGAAGGAGGCGAGTGATGGGGCCTGTCTTATCTCTCTGCGGAAGGCATTCCAGAGGCGGGGGGCTACCACCAAGAAGGCCCTCTCCCTCATCCCCACCAACCATGCTTGGGACGGTGGTGGGAGTGAGAGGAGGGACTTCCCGGTAGATCTAAGGGTCCGTGCTCGTTCATAGGGAGAGATGCAAGAGGCAGAGATAGGTGGGGCCTGAACTGTTTAGGACTTTATTGGTTATAACCTGCACCTTGGATTGAACCTGGCAACTTATCAGCAGCCAGTAGAGCTATTTTAATGGGGATGTATATGCTCCCTACAGTTAGCTCCAGTTGAAGTCTGGCAGTTAGAAGCCTGGATCTAGGAGTTGGAGTAGACCACAAAAAAACATGAGCTAAGAGTGTGGTGTGGCAGGAAAAAGGCCAATGCTATTTGAATGTATTATGTTTAAGTAGTAGAAAGGGACTGGACAGATATCCATCATAAAATGGATGAGACTTGGTTTGAGAACAGTCCATAGAAAAAGGATCTAGAACTCTGAGGAGACCATAAGTCAACACTGTGACACATCAAAAGGAATCTACTGTCTAGATATATATTTTCTGTTCGCCGTGGGAGTTCTGTGTGCCATATTTGGTTCAATTCCATCATTGGTGGAGTTCAGAATGCTCTTTGATTGTAGGTGAACTATACATCCCAGTAACTACAACTTGCATATGTCAAGGTCTATTTTCCCCCAAGTGCCTCAAGAGCGCCCCTGGACAAAATCAACTATACTGCAAATGTTGACTTTGCGTAATGGGTTGAGCCGCCCCTGGCAATGGCCCCTCTCTCTTCAGCATTGTTCAACTCTCACCTGGACTAATCATCCTGTATATTGTCGAAGACTTTAATGGCTGGTATCACTGGGTTGCTGTGAGTTTTCCAAGCTGTATGGCTATGTTCCAGAAGCATTCGCTTCTGACGTTTCACCTGCATCTATGGCAGGCATGCTTAGAAGCCCTCAGACCTCACAACCTCTGAGGATGCCTGCATAGATGTAGGTGAAACGTCAGAGAAAATGCTTCTGGAACATGACCATACAGTCCGGAAAACTCACAGCAACCCACCAATCATCTTGTGTTCAGTTCTGGTCACCACAGTTCAGGAAAGAGAAGGACCAGATGGAAGGTGTCCAGAGAAGGGAGACCAAAATGGGCAAAGGTCTGGAAACCACGAATCCCTCTGAGGAGTACCTTCAGGAGTAAGGGATGTTTAGCTTGGAGAATGTTAAATTAAGAGGGGACTTGAGAATCATGTTGAATTATCTGAAAAGGATGAGGAGGGGCTCATCCAGGACTGCTGCAGCAGAATTGCATAGGCAAGATCATTGATTTGTAATCCAGTTGCACTCTGTTGTCGTTGATCTTCAGGGTTACAAAACGCAAGCCATGTGCAATCCCACATGTGGAGATTTATGCCCTACAGCCCCAGTACCTGATCTTGCATAGATAGCAACTGGGGCAAAGAAGCACGGGGTTGTTTACGTGTTGTACACCATGAAAGGACCAGAGCTCCATTGTGACAGATTGTGATGACCCTCTTGCACAATATATCAATGTATGGAAACTGTGAAGCAATGGATAGGAATGGCTGAGGGCACTACAGCCTGAAGCCATTTTTAAAACAGGTTCTTCTTGCTGCGTTGCATTTTGTGTGGGAACGGCATGTCGCGTCTTCTGCACTGGAAGTGGGCACAGAATGCAATCTTATCTTGAAAATAGGTAAATCCCAAGCAGATGCACAACAGCATTCCAGAAGCATTTGAGCTCATTGTGCCTCATTTTGTGCAAATCTGGCATGGGAAGAGTGACTGGGATTCTGTTGTGATGTAACAAAATATGGTCCTGGCAATTATCCATGGGACTATGAAGGTGCAGAGGAGTCCCTATGTGTTTCTGCAGTTCCCATGTATTTTTTGTGGATGGGTGCAAACTAGGGCACAACCTGGATGATTAATAATAATAATAATAATAATAATAATAATTATTATTATTATTATTATTATTTAATTTATATCTCGCCACCATCTACCAAAAGGGACTCGGGGGGCTTACAAAAATACGCATTAATGCAACAGAATACACAAGGTACAGTAAAATACATATAATGTTTTACTGTATCTTCTGAGGATGAGGGAAACCTTCTTATGGAAGAGCAGAAAAAAGGTGAATCATTGGTATGTTTGGCTGGCTACACAGAGGAGGAGGAAAAGGAGGAGGAGGAGAAAAGGAAGAAGGAGAGGAAGAAGAGGAAGGGAAAGAATAAGAGGAGGAGGAAGGAGAAAGAAAGGAAGGAGAAGAAATAGAAGGAAGATGAATAAAGAAGAAGAGGAGGAGAAGGAAAGGAGGAGGAAGAAGAGGAAAAGGAGGAAGAGTAGGATGAAAGAAAGAAGGAGAAGAAGAATAGAAGGAGGAAGAAAAGGAAAAAGAGGAAGAGGGAGAGAAGGAAAGGAAGAAGAAGGAGAAAAAGAAGAGAAACGGGAGGAGGAGGAGGAAAAGGAGGAGGAGAAGGAAAAGAAGAAGAAGGAGAGGAAGAAGATGAACAGGAGGAGAAGGATGAAGAGGAGGAAGTGAAGGAAAGGAAGAAAGAATAGAAGGATGAGGAAAGGAAGGGAAGGAGGAGGAAGAAGAAAAGGAGGAAAAGGAGGAGGAGGAAGAGGAGGAGGAGGATAAAGAGGAGGAGAAGGAAAGGAAGGAGAAGAAGGAATAGAAGGCGGAGGAAGAAGAAGAAAAAGTAGAGGAAGAGGAAGAGGAGGAGGAGGAATGCCCTTCAATCCTTCTCACATTATATGTTTGATAGAATAGTGATTTACGCATGTTAATTACAGGCCCCGACTATTTTTTGAGGGAGTCTTTCACAAACCTTTTTGCAAATAATTCACAATCTCCATGATCTATATACTCAATTCCTGGTTGAAAAAGTTATTTCCGAGCCTTGAAACAACCTAGAGAAGATGGCAAAATGACACCGTGGCCCTAATGGTTATGGCTGGTGGATGATATTCTAAAACGCATGAAGTGGGACCCAATTTAATGCGATGGAATCTTGGGAGTTGTAGTTTGGTACTCTTTGGCAGACAGGGCAAAAGGCCTTGGCAAACTACAGCTCCCAGGATTCCATGACACTGAACTGCAACCATTCAAGTAGTATCAAACTGAATTAATTTGACAGTGTCTTGACCTTGAAGGAGCTGGGGGTGGTGATGGCTGACAGGGAGCTTTGGCACGGGCTGGTCCATGAGGTCACAAAGAGTTGGAAGCGGCTGAACTAATAAACAACAGATGCAGTGCAGGACGATGCAACCTTGGAAGGTGGCCTTTAGGGTCATTTAAGAGCATGGCATCTAAATGCACCTTCTTTCTTCCCTATTGATCGGACAAGGAGGCGCTTCCTTTTCACACTTTCACACCAGCAATTCATTTCTTGTGGCACTTTCCGGATAATTAGCCGATTAGCTCTTCCATCCTGGCAAGATCCATTATGGGTTTCAATCTGAACTTTGAAAGAGCTCTCCAAGGTGATGAACCTGTCTAAGGGTCATCCTTGGTGAGTTCCTATCAACAACAACAACACAACAGCAACAAAAATGTATTTCTTCAGTTCTAAGAAGCCCTTTCCCCCTCAATATGAATATATCTAAAAAGATGGGATGTGTCTTAGAATTGCAGGTACTTTTCTAATACATAAATAAAGCTTTTTATTCACCCTGTTCTCTTAGAAATTAGGAAATGCAGTTATTACTATTATATTTACATCCCAATTTCCTCTCTTAAGCAAGACTCAAAGTCATTCCCAACAAGGAAACCAATACAGTTTAAAACCTGCAATATGTGTGTGAAAATGGAATTAAACTTAGAATTGTGTTGTCAAAGGTTTTCATGGCCGGAATCACTGGTTTGCTGTGAGTTTTCTGGGCTGTATGGCCATGTTCCAGAAGCATTCTCTCCTGACGTTTTACCCACATGTATGGCAAGCATCCTCAAAGGTTGAGGGGTCTGTTGGAAACTAAGTAAGTGAGCTTTATATATCTGTGGAATGTCCAGGGTATAAAGCTCACTTACTTAGTTTCCAACAGACCCCTCAACCTTTGAGGATGCTTGCCATACATGTGGGTAAAACGTCAGGAGAGAATGCTTCTGGAACATGGCCATACAGCCCAGAAAACTCACAACAACCCAAACTTCGAATTGTTAAAAACAAAACCACATAAAACCATGAAAAAATGTTAAAATAATTAAAGTTTGAACTAAATTCAGAACAGATGCAACTTTACGGATACCACCAGCAACAACAGGAATTCTGTTTCATTTTGAAGGTTGTCTTTAAAGTGAATTTTCTCTCTATTTTTTCGCACATCGAAACAGGTAAGTGCATGCAATTTCATGAGGCAAATAGGCACATCCTCCCTATTTAGTTTTCCACTATGTAACAAAATGTGAAACATTTTCTGTTCCTGTTTTTAAAGTGTTATTTCCTGTTTAATTATTGGGTATTTACTTTGGAAGTAGTTTTTCTACCCCAGAAACTTTGTTTTTTTTTGTCTGCCACAAACTAGGTTGAATTGGTTGACTGTATGAGATATTCCTTGAAAAATAAGAACAAAATGTGTTGCAGGATTTCCTACCCACAAAAACAAAGTTTGTGCAGTTTAATAAACCTTTCCCATGTTTTTTAAATGATAGAACCAATTCGGAAATGACATTTATAACCTAGGAACAAAAATAGTGTAATTAAAGTTCAGACTAAAATCTGGAATGGATGCAACTGTACGGATGGCAGCAGCAACAACGGAAATTCTTTTCATTTTGAAGGCTGTGTTTCAAGGTGAATTTTCCATCTGCTTTTCGCACATCAAAGCAGGTAAGAGCATGCAATTTCATGGCCAACACAGCAAACAGACGTATTATCCCTAATTATTATCATTATTATCTGAACATGAGGAAGAACTTCCTGACTGTGAGAGCCGTTCAGCAGTGGAACTCTCTGCCCCGGAGTGTGATGGAGGCTCCTTCTTTGGAAGCTTTTAAACAGAGGCTGGATGGCCATCTGTCAAGAGTGATTTGAATGCAAAATTCCTGCTTCTTGGCAGGGGGTTGGACTGGTTGGCCCATGAGGTCTCTTCCAACTCTTTGATTCTATGATTCTATGATTATCATCATTATTATTATTACTAGCCACCCCCTGCCACACGTTGCTGTGGCCCACATGGGGGTTCTGTGTGGGAGGTTTGGCCCAATTCTATCATTGGTGGGGTTCAGAATGCTTTGTGATTGTAGGTGAACTATAAATCCCAGCAACTACAACTCCCAAATGTCAAGATTCTATTTTCCCCAAACTCCACCAGTGTTCACATTTGGGCATATTGAGTATTTGTGTAGAGTTTGGTCCAGATCCATCATTGTTTGAGTCCACAGTGATCTCTGGATGTAGGTGAACTACAACTCCAAAACCAAAGGACACTGCCCGCCAAACCCTTCCAGTATGGGAGAACTGTGTGCCAAGTTTGGTTCAATTCCATCGTTGGTGGGGTTCAGAATGCTCTTTGATTGTAGGTGAACTATAAATCCCAGCACCTACAATTCCCAAATGACAAAATCAATTTTTGTTTTTGCACAAAGGACATACATTGGGTTGTTAGGTGTCTTGTGTCCAAATTTGGTGTCAATTGGTCCAGTGGTTTTTGAGTTCTGTTAATCCCACAAACGAACATTACATTTTTATTTATATAGATTATTGTTATTATTATTACTACTACTACCTTTGGCCCTGAATTTCTTGTGTAGGTCACCTCTCTGTCTGACCCAATTCCCTCTCTTTAAAAACCTGCTGTATTTAATCAGCCGCTCGCTGGATTTAGCTATGAGGTCCGTGTCCTAATCCCTTTCTCTCCCCTCATTTACCGTCGTTGTTGGTATCCATCTGTCGAAAGATTTTCTCCGTCCGTTTCTCCGGGGTCGACTCATCCTCCGGCATCTTCATCACCGACGAGACCATTTTGTAGATGGCCTGCAAGAGAAGGAATAGAAGGAAAGAAGCCATTGAGACAAGCAGATCCCCCTCAAATTTCCACTCTCCGGATGGGGTTTGCCATGTCAGTGGGGTGGTGAATCCGTTCCAGGCTTTAATGGGAGTTTATGCAAAAACTCCACAACCCAAAATGTGGAATGGATTCAGTGCTCCGCCACAATGTGAGTCACTTGCATTTGGAGATTGCTAAATTTGGCCAGTTTTTATTCTGATGTTTTGGGAGAAAGGAACTTGCAGCGAGTCCTTCTGTTGCTTTAAACACAGGTAAACACAAGGACCAGGAAGAGGATATTCGCCCTTTAAACATTCCCAGACTAAGGGACAGATGTCCTGATTCCTATTGATCAGTTCCTATTAGAGGAATATTGATTAGTTCCCATTTGATGAGGCCCATTTAACCCATTGATAAACACAAAGATGCAAAGTAACTTGAAGTGTTATACATTTGTAAAATGGAAGGGCCTCTATAAAGCAGAGCTTTTAAAATCCCATCGGAAGGGTTCCTATAGCAGAGCCATTGAAATCAATGGGGTTTGAATGGCCTCTGCTATAGTAACCCTTTCACAAGATACATTCATAGAATCATAGAGTTGGAAGAGACCTTGTGGGCCATCCAATCCAACCCCCTACCAAGAAGCAGGAAAATCGCATTCAAAGCACCCCTGACAGATGGCCATCCAGCCTCTGTTTAAAAACCTCCAAGGAAGGAGCCTCCACCACACTCCAGGGCAGAGAGTTCCACTGCTGAACAGTTCTCACAGTTAGGAAGTTCTTCCTAATGTTTAGGTGGAATCTCCTTTCCTGTAGTTTGAAGCCATTGTTCCACATCCTAGTCTCCAGGGCAGCAGAAAACAAGATTGCTTCCTTCTCCCCATGACTTCCCCTCAGATACTTATACATGCCCCTCTCATCCTTCCCTTCTGCAGGCTAAGCATGCCCAGCTCTTTAAGCCGCTCCTCATTGGCGTTGTTCTCCAGACCCTTGATCATTTTAGTTGCCCTCCTCTGGACACATTCCAGCTTGTCAACATCTCCCTTCAACTGCGGTGCCCAGAATTGGACACTGTATTCCAGGTGTGGCCTGACCAAGGCAGAATAGAGGAGTAGCATGTCTTCCCTGGATCTAGACACTAGACTCCTATTGATGCAGCTCAAAATCCCATTGGCTTTTGTAGATGCCGCATGACATCATTGGCTCATATTTAACTTGTTGTCCATAGCAGTTTGAGTCTACTTTATGGCCAAGGTTGCATCTCATGGCATCTTGGGATTTGTCGTTTGCTCTAGTGCCTCCTCCCTAACTACAAATATTAGGACTTCCCATGTAGGGTGCATCTACATTGTAGATTTAATGCAGTTTGACACCGGTTTAATTGCCACAGTTCAATGTTATGGGATTCTGGGAGTTGTAGTTTTACAAGGCTTTTGGTGTCTCGCTAACTACAAATGCAATATCCCATAGTGCTGAACCATAGTGGTTAAAGTGGGGTCAAACTGCATTAAGTCTATGGTGTAGGTGCACCTTGAGCCTCTACTAGCGAGGTTTCCTCCTTTCATTTTAAGGTTCAGGAGGTTCCGAGAAAGGACTTCACAACTGTCTGCGTCTTCAATCCAAATCCGAACAGAGGAGAAAAAAAATGATTAAACAAAAGAAGCATTTGAAAAATACTCAGTGTGCAATTTCCCTGAGGACAGTGAGCATCAAATAATTAACATCCAATATGTTGAGGACGGGTTTCTCTGGGAGGAAAAACACAAACTGTAGAAGCAGGTGGGAAATAGATCACCTTTCTCTCTCTCTCTCTCTCTCTCTCTGCCTCCCTCCCTCCCTTCTCTCTCTCTTTTCTTTCTTTTTGTCTCTTCTTTCTTTCTTTCTTCCTCTTTCTTTATTCTCTCTCTTCTCTCTCCTCTCCCTTCCCTCCCCCTATCTCTTTCCTTTGTTCCTTCCTTCCCCCTCTCTTCTTTTCTTTCTCTTTCTCCTTCTTTCTTTCTTTCTTTCTTTCTTTCTTTCTTCTTTCTTTCTTTCATTCCTTCCTTCTCTCTCTTCTTCTCTTTCTTTCTTCTTTTTCTTTCTTTCCTTCTCTTTCTCTCTCTCCCCTTCTTCTTCTTCTCTTCTTTTCTCCCCTCTCTCCTTTCTCTTTCTCTTTGCTCCTCTTTCTTTCTTTCCTCTTCTCTTTCTCTCTCCCCCTTCCTTTCCTCCTTCTCTCTCTCTTTCCTTTGTTCCTTCCTTCCTCTCTCTTCTCTCTTTTCTTCCTTCCTTCTCTCTCTCTCTCTCTTCTCAGCATCCTTTGGAAATACCTACTTATAACCTCCATCCCTCACTTTGAAAGGTTTGGACACCATTTGTATGGTCTCACATCATCATCATAATCAACAACAACAACAATAGTAACAGCAGCAGCAACACCAACAACAATGTGTTTACACCCCACTTTCTTGAGTGAGGCCAGAAGGGGTTCACAACCTTAAAGACAATACAATATAATATAAATATTGAAATATAATTAAATGTACAAAGAGAGGAAAAGCTGAAACTCTTGGCCCTAGGAACAGAGAAAGAAAAAAAGAAAGAAAGAAAGAAAGAAAGAAAGAAAGAGAGGGTGAGTGGGAGGGAGGGAGGAAAGAAGGAATAAAGGAGAGGGAGGGAAGGAGGGAAGAAAGAAAGAAACAAAGAAACAAAGGGAGGGAGGAGAGAGGGAAGGAAGAGAGGAAGAAGAGAAAAAGAAAGAAAGAAAGGGAGAGAGGGAGGGAGGGAGGAAGAGGGAGGAAAGAAAGAAAGAAGAAAGAAAGGGAGGAAAAAAAAGAGAGGGAGGGAGGGAAGAAAGAAGAGAGAGGGGGGAGGGAGGCAGGAAGGAAGGAAGGAAGGAAGGAAGGAAGGGAGGGAGGGGAGAGAGGAAGGAAGGGAAGGAAGAAGAAGAAAAGGAAAGAAAGAAAAGGAAAGGAAAGAGGGAGGAGGGAGGAAAGAAGAAAGGAAAGAAAGAAGAAAGAAAGAAAGAAAGGGAAAAAAAAGGGGAGGGAGGGAAAAAAGAGAGGGAGGGAGGAAGAAAAGGAAAGAGAGAGGGGGGAGGGAGGAGGAAGGAGAAGGAAGGAAGGAAAGGAAGGAAGAGGGAGGGAGGGGAGAGAGGAGGAAGAGAGGAAGGAAAAGGAAAAAGAAAGAAAGGGAGAGAGGGAGGGAGGGAGGAAAGAGAGGGAGGAAAGAGAGGAAGAAGAAAGAAAAGAAAGAAAGAAAGAAAGAAAGAAAAAGAAAGAAAGAAAGAAAAGAAAGGGAGGGAGGGAGAACAAAAGAGAGGAGGGAGGGAAGAAAGAAAGAAGAGGAGGGAGGGAGGAGGAGGAGGAAGGAAGGAAGGAAGGAAGGAAGGAAGAGAAAAAAGAAGGAAGGAAAAAGAAAGAAAGAAAGAAAGAAAGAAAGAAAGAAAAAAGAAAGAAAGAAAGAAAGGGAGAGAGGGAGGAGGAAAGAGGAGGAAGAAAGAAAGAAAGAAGAAGGGAGGGAGGGAACAAAAAGAGAGGGAGGGAGGGAGAAAGAAAGAGAGAGGGGGAAGGGGGGAGGAGAGGAAGGAAGGAAGGAAGGAAGGAAGGAAGGAAGGAAGAAAGGGAGGGAGGAGGGAGGAGGAGGGAGGAGAGGGAAGAAGAGAGGAAGGAAAGAAAAAAGAAGGAAGGAAGGAAGGAAGGAAGGAAGGAAGGAGAGGAAGGAAGGAAGGAAGGAAGGAAGGAAGGAAGGAAGGAAGGAAGGAAGGAAGGAAGGAAGGAAGGAAGGAAGGAAGGAAGGAAGGAAGGAAGGAAGGAAGGAAGGAAACCAGTCAGTACTAGTTTGACATTATAGTAAGGGCTGCAGCAACAGCAGGGGGCGATACAGAGCCAGGCAAGAAACAGGGAAAGGTTTTGCTGCATGCAAGAAATCCCAGCATCCCCTTTTCAGACAATGAGGAACGAAAGGGAGGTTCTATATATTGCTTTTGATACTGACTTTCTTAATTGCATGGGAAGAGCATGCCTCTTTGTTTAATTCCATTTTCTTTTTTGTCTCTTTTTAAGTTTTAAATTGTATTGTATTGTGTTGTCGAAGGCTTTCATGGCCAGAATCACTGGGCTGCTGTGAGTTTTTTAGGCTGTATGGCCATGTTCCAGAAGCATTCTCTCCTGACGTTTCACCCACATCTATGGCAGCCATCCTCAGAGGTTGTGAGGTCTGTTGGAAACTAGGCAAGTGAGGTTTATATATCTGGGATGTTTAGGGTGGGAGAAAGAACTTTGTCTGTTTGAGACAAGTGTGAATGTTACAATTGGCTACCTTGATGTGCATTGAATAGCCTTGCAGCTTCAAAGCCAGGCTGGTTGCTGCCTGGGACTATCCCTTGTTGGGAGGTGTTAGCTGGCCCTGATTGATTCTTCTCTAGAATTCCCCTTTTGTGTGTTGCTCTTTATTTACTGTCCTGATTTTAGAGTTTTTTAAAATACTGGTAGCCACATTTTGTTCATTTTTGTTCCCAACAAAGGATTCCCTCCCAGGCAGCAACCAGCCAGGCTTTGAAGCTGCAATTATTATTATTATTTATTTGGTAATTTTGTATACCGGTCTTCTCACCTCCATTCGAGGGACTCGGGCCGGTTTCCAACATCAATATTACAGACCGTCATTAAAACATCATATTTCTAAATGACACTAAAACATTGAAACATTGAAACAATTAAAATGGCAAAAATACAATCATGATTACAGTGGTCAGTCATCATCAAAGTCATTATTCGTCGTCATCCATCCATATCACAGGATCATGGCTCATTCGTTGAATGCCAATCCCCAAAGCCAGGTTTTCACCTGTTTCCTGAATGTTAAGATCGAAGGGGCAGTTCTGATCTCCAGTGGAAGGGAGTTCCAGAGTCGAGGGGCCACCACCGAGAAGGCCCTGTCTCTCGTCCCCACCAGCCGCGCCTGTGAGGCCGGTGGGATCGAGAGCAGGGCCCCTCCAGACGATCTTAGTA